CTCCCTCTCTCTCCCTCTCTCTCTCTCTCCACCCACCTCCCTCCCTCCCTCTCATCTGTGTGTATGTGTGTGTGTGTGTTCTCCGTGTCTCTCAAAATATATAAAATTTTAAAAATGCTTTGTCCAGAATTATTAGTTCCAGTATATATGTATCTGAATGACTTATTGAAGTATCTGCAGGCTGGTGCTGTGGCTTGCTAGGCTAATCCTCCACCTGTGGCTCCAGCACCCCAGGTTCTAGGCCCGGTTGGGGCACTGGTTCTGTCCTGGTTGCTCCTCTTGCAGTCCAGCTCTGCTGTGGCCCAGAAATGCAGTGGAGAATGGCCCAAGTGCTTGGTCCCTGCACCCGCATGGGAGACCAGGAGGAAGCACCTGGCTCCTGGTTTTGGATCAGCACAGCACACTGGCCATAGTGGCCATTTGAGGGGTGAACCAATGGAAGGAAGACCTTTGTCTCTGTCTCTCTCACTAACTCTGCCTGTCAAAAAATAAAAAAAGAAGTATCTGCACATGTATTTAAAGATACAGAAGACCTGGTGTAAATGTGAGCATCTGACTCTAAACCAAGAACCTCCAAGTTTGTAGCAAGCATGAAGAAAGCCTTTTCTATTTTATGCAAGACAACTCATCTTTCTCATTAAATCATCTTATCATCAAGGAAATAAAGACAAGATTGTTGGTGATAAATCATTCTCAAAGCGTTTAACAACATTTTAAAAATGAGAGTTGAGGAAAGTAGAATCTGTGTGTGTTTACAAAAGAAGAAATTATGGTCTTGGCCAAGTGTTAATACTTCTAATTGGAAATCAAATGACAGAAAATTTTCCATTCATAAATATGACCTAAATTTGCATTATTTAGATAATCTCATTTAAAAAAATCTTAAATGGACCACTCTAATACAATAAGGGAACAACGTTCTATTATTTTACTGCATTTTACAATATTGCATCAGCACAGAAAGAAACTATACCAACTATCCATCATTCTCTATTTCTCCCTCCCACTAACTCCTGGAAACCATGAATGCATTTGAATGTATTAGTCTATCCAAGGTATGGTATATAAATTAAATCATCTAATATGTGATCTTTCATCAATGGATGGATCACTCACCACCTTGTGATGGATGAGCACTAACTTGCTCTTTGTTGCCAATTTCCACTGCATCAGCTCATCAGCTGATTCACATTTGGCTTGTTTTCCACTTTTGGCTCCTGAGAATCACACATCCAGGAATGTCTATATAAAAATGTTTGCCATTCTTTTGAGTATATACTAAGGAGTTGGATGACATGATTGCATGACAATTCTGTTTGGATTTTGAAGAACAATCTAATTCTGTGTTTGAATTTTGAAGAACAATCTGAAAAATTATTTTCCACAGTGGCTGTGCTATTCTACATTACTACCAGCAATATACAAACATCAGATTTCTCCATGATTTTTGTCAATGATTTTTAATTTTTATTATAGTAATTTACATGGATGTGAATTCACAGGTAGACTTATGATGAATGATTCTGAGCATCTTTTCAAGTACTTGTTTGCAACCTGTGAATGTTTTTTGGAGAAAAGTTTATTCTGAACCTTTCTCCATTTTAAATTCAGGGTTTTTGTTGTTGTTGGGTAGTGATTGTTCTTTTTATGTACTAGGTACTAATTCCTTATCAGTATATAATTTCCAGGTAAGACAGTACTTTAAAATGTGTGGAAGATGGAATTAAAAGGTGGATTTATTTTGGTACAAAACATGTTTTTTGAAATCCACATACATTATTCTTATAATACACATCCTCTCCATGAACTTAAGTATCCCTGTGTACTCTTCCATTCTGTGAACTGTGTTTCTGGTTTGTTTATAGAATCACTTGTTACACAAAATTTTAATTTTATTGAAGTGCAATATATATTTTTCTGTTCTCCCCTGTATTTTCCAATGCACAGGGTGTTTTCTCAGGCAGAGGCCAGCTCACAAAATATGGTAAACACAGATCAGAAAGAGGCGATGAAACAAGGAGCAATGAGGCAGGGCAGAGAAGCGAGTATGAATACACAAGGAATCTGGGGGTCTTGAGGCCGAGACACAGAGGCTTCAATGTGAGGGCAGGTGAGGGCCCCCAACATGCACTTTCTGGCAAGAGACAGCCTCCACCATGGAGTTTGTGAGTGCTCAAAAATAATATACAAGAGCAGAAACCACATCTGTTTGGTTGCTGGTCTCCCTCCACTTCCATGGCTAGACCAAGTTTTTCCATCCTATTGAAAGCATTGACAAGCAATTCTGGTCAACAGCCCATCTTTCAAAAGAAAGATGAAGAAAAGAGGAAGGGCAAATACCAGCTCACCCTGCCCCTACACAGGATCATGAGGAGGCAAGGCTCCTGGGGCCAGAATGAGGCCACAGTTTCCATATCCCAACTCTTAGCCATCCTGCCTGGGGTGCCTCTCCTCCTCTACTCCAGAGCACTAAGGGAGGAGAGGCTGGAGAGGCAGGGAAGTGTGGGTGTGACAGATGTGGCAGCAGCATCCAGGGGACACAGCATTGCCAGTGAACTGCAGTGGAGGTCTTGGCTGGAGTGGAATTCTGAAGGGGGGCCAGGTGTCTCTGGTTCCATGACCATAGTGGGTTCTCGGGTTCAAGTGCTGCCCTGAAATACACAGGTTCCTGCCCTTTCCATGCAGCTTGCACAAAACAAAAACATCAGTTGGTAAACACCAATAGCACTTTCCAGTTTTCTTGTTCTATTTATTATTGTTGTCATTGTTACTGTTATCTGACTACAAAGACAGTGTGAGACTTCACAGGTAGACTAGCTTTCCTGATAGAAGGGCTTGGGTACAGAGAGCAGGGTTTGTGGATTTTTTTGCATTATGTTTTAAAGCAGAAACAAAAAGGTTGATTGGAGTGGGGTGGAGGGATTTGCTAGAAGTTTCTATCTAAAAAAATCAGCCCATCAAAAAAATAAAAACAAAACAAGAAATACCTGTGTGTATCAGTATTGATGGAAATATAATTTTATAAAATGTTGCTTTTTAGCTTTGCCAAACCAGTGGTTAGGACTATTATACTACTATAGTTTCATGATCTGTGATTGCTTTAAAATGCACTTTACATAAGTGAAATTGTCACTTCTTTCCATTCAATTACTGTGTAAAGCCATTGCTTATATTCTTGCCAAACTAGGTTGCTTTTTACTTGTTAAACATCTCATTTGGTGAATAAGTAAGCCTTTTATTGTTATGTAAATTTAAAATATGTTATCTCCAAGTGTAAAATGAGAAAGCAAGCAAGAAAGGGATGGAGAGGGGGAGGAAGGTGGACAGGGAGAGAAGAAGGGAATATCATTTTATTCTCATAATTTTATCTATAAACTATATTGAATCTGTTAAAAATTAATTAAAATTTTAAATTGAAAATATAAAAGAAACATTCCCCTCCCCAAAGAACCCTTGAAAACAAATTTTTAAAAATCCTGAAAACAGTAAAACTCCAAATAAACAAACAACAAACTGTCATGTACAGAAAGAGTGAATTAAGTTCATTTATTAATAGCAGCTAAAATTTATTTATGCGTGACTTCAGTCCAAATTAGGGGAGCTAATGTAGGCTTGTCACTTAAACAGGAATAATTCATTTTCAAAATCACCCTGATAAATATCTCTTCTCCATTTTGCTTCAAGCCAGAGAAATATTACTGCACATCTATGTAACTTATTATTTCCTATTTTTAAAATAAGTAAATCAATGTCTGAAAATATTTCAATACTAAGAAATTACAGAATTTCAGGAGTCATCACATTTTTGAGGTACGACATAAGTAGCAGGTGGACACCTGGATATAACTTTGAAATATTGATACAGGCTGAGAGCTCTGCAAGAATATTAGTGAGTGAGGTGCAAATTTCACAGCCTAAAGCTTACTCTTGCTGTCACGTGTTACATACTTTTCCATATTATGCAAATTGTAAGAGACTGGATGGTGAAAACTTGCAAGTGGAAGGAAAGTTTTCTGCACAAACATTGCTGAATATTGAGCTACCTGGGAGAAGGCACTCTCTTAATGTACAAGTATACGATATTTCAAGACTACTCCACAAAGTAATTATTGAACCCTAAATATTACCTCAGGTCCCTCAAAAGTAGCCTTGGTACTAGAAATGTTATTTTTATAATGTTTATTCACATTTCCCCATTGAAGATTTTATCTACATACTCACCTTTAATCCAGGAAAACATGAAATAATTTAGGAGAGTTTTCTGCCTTATCTCTTTAAATTATAGTCCAGCTGACCTCACAGAAGATATGAAGAGTCTTGAATGAACTAATGTAGGAGAAAATAAATGACAAATACAAAGAGAAGAAACAGTCAAAAGGAAGGAGCAACAGAAGATTTAGATTTATCAGCCAAAGTCCTACTGAGTTAAAGATGAATTGCTGATTCTACTGAAACAAAATAGATTCACTTTCAGAGGTGGGATTCACATTAACTAATAGATCCAAATACACTAATTTCTCAGAAGTGAAGAAAAATCATTTGCTGGGCCTTTGTTAAAAAAATTTCAGACATGGAGCTCAAAGTTGAAACAAAATTAAGGATGTGAAAAGATAGTTCTTTGTTTCACTTTTACAACAACCTTCAATGTTATAAAATATGATTGTGCAAAAGTATAGGTGTGTTATGACAGTTGTGTAGAGAGAGAAATGAAGCAGCCAAGGTAGCCAGGTTTCTAATCATTTGGCCTAATTCAAGGAAACAATAGCAGATATGGAGTAACTCAGAATTTGTAAGCTGTTATATATAGATATATCTTGCTGCCTGAACTTTAACAAAAGTTGAACATGAGACATTTTACCACCATGGTCTCTAGTCCAGTCCTATGTTAATAAAAGAAAATTTATATACTTATGTGGGTGAATGACTAAATGTCTGTTCTTTTATAAAAGTAAAGGAACCAGTTGCAACTACTGATTGAGTGTCCAGTTACCCTACTGTAGGACCCCAAAAGCGGTGTCCTCTTGTGACGACCCCAGAAACACAGACTCCGGACCAGACGATGCAATAGAACAGGAGGTAATTTATTTCATTTGTACAAATGGGCCCCCTACTGCTGCAAGCAGCAAGCAAGTGAGAGGAGCCCCGAGCAGCTATCTCACACAGCTTTTAAAGGGCAAAACCACAAAATTAACATATTATAGGCTGGCATAAGTTCATTGGATAATTTTCAGTAGCGGGCCTTGTATGGCAGTCTGAAGTGCTAATGTCGGTGGAAAAGTACTAGGTCAAAGGGATACATTAGGGGAGGGGGTTTCTAGGAGACAGGAGTAGGTTGCTACGTGCCTTGCAGCTTTCTTTGTTAACCTTGAGCAAGCGTAGGGAAGGGGCTTATCTACAAGGCAGATGTTCTGTGTATCTCTGGTTAGTAGCTGACTGCTTTCTCTGTGAACCGGTTTACTCCCCATTTCCCAAGGCCGTCTCTGGAACGGTTTGTCTCAGGAGCCCCATTTTTTTTATGGTGGCTCTTGGCTCCTTTCATTCCCCCATTTTCTCTTTGAGCTAATTTTAATCCTAAAATTGTGTGCCGTTAATGAGGGGTTTCAATACGGTCACTGGTGGCCAGGGCTTGATACTGTTGCATGAGGACTAATGCCAATGATCAGCAAGCCAGGCCTTAGCATGTGGGCCCATGGCCAGCCATGGGTTTTTATATTTTTTTTTATTAAATTGAGAATGGCCTCTGTCTTAGGTTGTCCTCAGTCATCTCTGTCCTTACCCGTCATCGGTAACTCTGGCAGCTTGGCCTAGAGCCCTGTCTTAGGTTGGTACAGGATGCTGAGCGTCTTACCCGTCTTTGAGTACCATTCCAGCCCAACATTAGGTGAGAGATGAAACATACAGCCAAATATCAATTATTTTGATTACAAAGGAGGCTTGGTATGAAGTTTTAAATGATGAATCTCAGTCCATTTATACTGTAGCGAAGTCAGCATAAAATGCAGAACACACGGAAGACATCCCATACAGAGTGGGAAAAGCAGTAGCAGTCCAGCCAACATTAATAACCAATGAACCCATTGAAACCCTTCAAATGAATAGTGGGTTAGTAATAAACATATGCTGTATTTTACTCTTAAGTTTATTAATAACAGACTCTATATATGGCACATTGTTAGTAATGTTAAAGCAATATCCCCCAGGTATAGGTTTACAACTTAAATGATCTTTTTAACAGCAAGTAATTGTTAGCTGCATGGCTTAAAAGCACTCCTGAGTGAACTTGATCCAATTCTTTGGCTATATTGGATAGCACAGTAGCAGTAAGATTGATTGCTTTGGTCACCAAACATGTAAGCCTTTATAGTCCACGATTATTTTTAAAAGCCAGTCCAGGAACACTTACTACTGATGCAGCCATGGCAAGGGCAGTGTCCTCTCCTATTAGGATGACGTTGTTATTGTAGTCTTCAGGTAAAGCACGCCACTGACGTACTCTATCCGCTGCTGTAAATACAGATGTTAGCATCAGGGCCACACGGCCCAGGGAGCAATTGCAGAAAGGCATGTTGGTTACATAGAAAAACCCATCCCTTAGGAGTCCTTGTCCCATACCAGTACTGGATCAGGTCCATTCCATTGATTGGTGATAGGATCCCTCCATTTCACCATTGCTCTTTTTACAGCTGTTTTTAAGCAGTTAGAATTCAACAGAGACATCAAGAGAACATAATAGATTACTTTAACTCATTGCTTTAACAGAGGATCAGATTTTGATTTTATGTCAAAGAAAATGACCAAAGATTTCTTCTTCCCATAACATTTTGCGACTTTCTCACACCTTCTGTAACTTGCTCAAACCTTTCTCTTCCCCCCCCTTTTTTTCTTATTCCAGTATAAACCAGCCATTAAGATAAACAATTTTTATAAATCATATTTTTTAAAAGTATCTTTTTTTAATTTTTTTTATTAAGAACATGCTTTTATGTTTGTGACCTTTTACATTAAAATGATGGTATCTGGGACTGTAGCAGTCAATGGGAGAGTAACTTTGTTTAATTCCCTGTAATCCACAGTCATTTTTCAGGTTTCATCTGATTTCTTAACATGCCAAATTAGATAATTCCTTTTAGTGATTATGGGAATCATCACTCCAGCACTAAGATAATCTTTTTACTGTTTTAGATATTTCCTCATATCCACCTGGAATTCTGTATTGTTTACACTGAATAACCTTAGTTGGCCCTGGCAGCAGTACAGGAGCTTGATATAATTTTTTTTACCACTACCTAGCAGTTTGACTCTAAAGGGCAGCATTTTTTTTCCAATTTACATTTATTCTGTACTTATTTTTTCAATTGCTTACACATGCATCAGTATGCAGATAACAAAATCCATTCTCACCTCCCCAAAGCCTATAGTTCATCCCCCTTTTCCACTGGCACTGATAGCAAAACCTCAATAACTTGTGGAGGCTGTGCACTCTGTAACTTGCCATCCCAATTCTCACTCGATTCTGAGCAGAGAGCCCATTCCTTCACCAAAGAGGCGAACTGAAGGTTTTTTCAGCCAGGAACATCACAGGTTACACATGCAACTTCAGTTTTTCTTTTAAAGAAAGGCATTGCTTTGCATACTTGCAGATCCTGCCAACTACGCCAATTTGTGACAGTAAATTACTTTTTAGCTGTCTGCTGTGCACAGACTTAGTTACTTTTAATCTGCAAGAAATATGCTGCAAGCCTTGTAGTGCACACTAAAATTATTTAGAGGAAAGATGGTAAAGGAGCATAGATTTACAGAATGTTGCAATAAACATGGCTTCATTGCTTTAATGATACTATGGCAAGATGGTCCACTGATCCCTGTAGGGAGGGCCTGAGGCTGGCCCCGCTTCCAGTTTCCTGAACTCTGTTTTTTAATGAATTACCTTCTTTATCAGTTTTGGAGTGACATTTATTGTCCCAATGCCTTCCCCTTTAGCACTGGAAGCAAATCCCAGGAAGAGCCTTATTTTGATTTTTGACTTCTGGATAATTTTTGTACATGTCCCTGTTGCCCACATTTATAGCACCCTCATTTATCAGGCATAGCCCTCCTTGATGATTTTTGTAATGACATACCAAGCAGAGCGTCAGGTCCTGAATGTCCTGTTATTAATCTATTTTGTTAATTTTTCATTAAAGGGACTGTCACAGAACACCTCAATTACAGTAGCCAATTGATCATGTAATCATTACAGGCACATTTAACATTCAGCTTGACTGCGTGTTCCCCCAGGATGAAACAGCAGCAACAGAGGCTTGCTCCGGCTCCCCCCTAAAGCCTCCAAGGACAAGGGTGGCTCATTGCCAAGATTTTAGGCAAGCAGTGCGTCCCATCTCGGGTCTTGGCCAGAGAGCCGAGACATGAAGCATGCCCACCTGTTTATCAGAAAACATTCCTTTATCCTCCTCCCCGGGAACTGGCCAGGCTCCCAAGGAGCAGGAGAAGGTCATTCGGCAGCAAAGTTTCTTGGTTACCAGAGCCAAATCTAGGTACAAGCCTCTCCAGCCCAAAAATTTGTCCTTACATTTGGCCCTAGAGTTGTATTGAGAGGTAGACATAATTAACACATTATAAGAATACAATACACATTTTTCATACAAGTATACATCTAGCAATCAAACACAACAATAAAAACAGATGGGGGAGACAGTAAGAGATAAAGGACAACAAAAACAGTGACACACAGAACACAAATCACAAGCCGCGCGGCAACAGACCGAGACAAAACCGAAACTATCAGAAGGGAGCGGCAGTCTAGCCAGGCTCTCCCCTGGAAGAAAGGAAATTCCCTCTTTCCCTCCTTCCCAGACCACCACTGGAGCGTTCTCCAGGGTTGAACCAGGGGTCTCAGGACACGTCTGAAATCACAAGCCACGCAGCAACAGACCGAGACAAAACCAAAACCAGAATTTCAGAAGGGAGTGGCCGTTTGGCCAGGCTCTCCCCTGGAAGAAGGGACACGCTCTCTTTCCCTCCTTCCCAGACCACCACTGGAGCGTCCTCCAGGGTTGGACCAGGGGCCTCACGACATGTCTGTCTCCCCCTTTGGTCCAGTCAGTACTGAGCCTGTACAGGCGCCCCAGGACAGATTCCACGTCGTCCGGGCAGACAAGGACAAACAGTACAAACCACAGTTACAATAATACACAAGTAAGCAAACTTACCTCCGTCTGGCCGATGGAGTGTGGGAGTCTGGGGTCCCCCAAATCCCGGACGAGCCCCTAAATGTAGGACCCCAAAAGCGGTGTCCTCTTGTGACGACCCCAGAAACACAGACTCCGGACCAGACGATGCAATAGAACAGGAGGTAATTTATTTCATTTGTACAAATGGGCCCCCTACTGCTGCAAGCAGCAAGCAAGTGAGAGGAGCCCCGAGCAGCTATCTCACACAGCTTTTAAAGGGCAAAACCACAAAATTAACATATTATAGGCTGGCATAAGTTCATTGGATAATTTTCAGTAGCGGGCCTTGTATGGCAGTCTGAAGTGCTAATGTTGGTGGAAAAGTACTAGGTCAAAGGGATACATTAGGGGAGGGGGTTTCTAGGAGACAGGAGTAGGTTGCTACGTGCCTTGCAGCTTTCTTTGTTAACCTTGAGCAAGCGTAGGGAAGGGGCTTATCTACAAGGCAGGTGTTCTGTGTATCTCTGGTTAGTAGCTGACTGCTTTCTCTGTGAACCGGTTTACTCCCCATTTCCCAAGGCCGTCTCTGGAACGGTTTGTCTCAGGAGCCCCATTTTTTTTATGGTGGCTCTTGGCTCCTTTCACCTACTTCTGAAGAGGAAGGCTGGGGATGTTTTTTTAGAATGAAGTTTTTCAGTTATTCCATTGTAGTTGTTCTTTCATATTGGAAAATTGCATTTTGGCATTTTCTGCCTGCTTATTTGTTTCCAAAATCGAGACCATGCTTCTTTTTCAAATAGAATTTCATTGGGCACAGATTTTTTTTTTTATGAACACTAAACTACAAATTGACAGGTCATTGTTTCTTTCATTTATTTTCTGAAAATGTTATCTGAATTTGACCTGATCTATTCCCAAATATCAGCTGTAAGCACACTTTATCAATTTCTTATTATCTAATATCTTGTCTTATCACTTCTAGAGATTGCTTTTTCCAATGTATACTCTCTCCTATCACTGGGTTTCATCTTCAAGCACTTTAATATTTCTCCCTCCAATATAAAGCAAAAACCTATGACAACAGTAGCTATTAGAGATGAAAACAAACTTTAACCTACAATAGAACACCAATAGAGTCATAGCATTCATAAATTAGTAAAAGGTGAATAAATACAATAATAATGTAAATAGAATGCATTGATTTGTTAATAACAATATTGAAAAGTAGTTTCTAGGCAGGTGCCATGGCTCACTAGGCTAATCCTCCACTTGTGGTGCCAGCACCCTGGGTTCTAATCCAGGTTGGGGTGCCAGATTCTGTCCTGGTTGCCCCTCTTCCAGTCCAGCTCTCTGCTGTGTCCTGGGAAGGCAGTGGAGGATAGCCCAAGTGCTTGGGCCCTGCACCTGGCTCCTGGCTTCGGATTGGCATAGCTCCGGCGGCTGTAGCAGCCATTTGGAGTATGAACCAATGGAAGGAAGACCTTTCTCTCTGTCTCTCATTGTCTGTCTCTGCCTATCAAAAAAAAAAGTAGTTTCTAGTAAATATATTTTATCACACTAAGATATTTACTTGTGTTTTTGTCTAATGTAAGATGTATTTTGGCTAATGTAAGATGTATTTTGGCCATTCAAGAATCAGGTTAGTAAACTATTTTATCTGACTATTTTATCTGACCTTTCAAAGTCAAATATTGTATTATCATATGTCCCAATATTCCTTGACAATTTTGGATAAACCTTATTGAATTATAAAGGTGTCATTTTTATTTCTACATGCTGTTATTTCATCAAGGAGTTTAAATATGTACTTCCTAATTCATATTTAGTATTTAGTATATATTAAGATTTACCTGTAGTCATGTACTTTTCAAAAAATTTTAAGTCTCCCTTTGTTGACTACTTTTAAATTTTGCTTTATTTTTCTTATATCTGAAACTCTAAAATAGTCCATGAAATCTGTGACATTTAAGAAATCAAAAATATGTTCATGCCTTCCAGGTTAAGACAATGAAAATCTAAACTGTAGTTACTATTGAGGCAACTGGTTTCTAGGTGATGGAGCCCACTTTTGCCTGAGGGACTAGATGGAGTGGCTACTTTCTTGTTTGTGCCAGATGTGCATTGTACACAAACAAAGTTCCTTTGGAATTCACTAAGATGTGGGAAATGTTTGCTGCTACAGCATATTTTAGTCCAACTTAACTCATAGTGAAACATTTGTATGTTCCCTTAGAGTCACTGCAGTATGGTCCTGTTCTTTATTAAATTCCAATGATTAATTTTTCAATACATTTCATAGACTCATTTCTTTTATTTATTTGGATATCAGAAAGAAATAGAGAATGACCTCAAATCCCACTGGTTTGCTCCCACAAATGACCACAATGGCAAGGGCTGTGCCAGGATGAAGCCAGGAGCCTGGAACCCCTCCAGATCTTACAAATGGGTGACAGCTACTCAAATACTCCAGCCATTATCTGCAGCCTCCCAGGGAGCACACAATCAGGAAGCTGGATCTAAAGCAGAGTAGCCAACAGTCATAACCATATGGATTCTTACATCACAAGCAGCACATTAACTGCCATCACCATATGCTATACTTCCCTTTTTAAATTGAGATGTGAACTGACATGTTCTTCTGAAGATTACAGTATCCACAGTGAGGACCACTTGCCCATGGACTTGGGGACAAAGGTGGACTGATGTTCTCTCTCCCTGGTGGAGGGAGTGTTGTAAGGTTGCTCCTGACCCAGGGCAAATTTAGCACAGTCCTAGTACTGCTGGGGGACAAACTCACAAGTCCTGAAGTGGGGTGGGGGAGACAACTTTAGGAGCTCCTGAAGCCCCAAGGACAAGGATGCTTTTAGCCCCTTAGCAGACATATATGTAATTCCATAGCATCCTTTCCTAACAGCATAGCCAATGCAGTCAGCTAGGACAAGCAGCATTCCATTAGGCTATAGATATAGCTATGGCTGGGGTTTGGTCTTGGGCTAGGGGCCCCTAGAGAATCAGGGGACTTTTGAATCAAAGCTTGGGTCCAAAGATATGAAACTACAAGTTGCTACAAGATGGTATCAGGAAGTTCAGCTGTGGAGAGACAGTTATTGAGGCTTCTGGAACAAAATGAGAGGTCCCTGGGGTGGGATTTCTGATTCTATCTGGAGGACTAGAAAGTTTAGGGTCTATGGTGTTGTGGGCTTAAGGAGGGTGTCTAGAGGTTAGTGTACTTGCTGCTGCTGTCAGTACACAAAAACATGTTAGCCAGCGGCTACCCTAAGCCCAATCAGTTGATGAGTGACGATCGTCCTGGCTATGGATCTGTACTCAGATCCCCACCACAAATGGAGTCTTCTCTGCAGAGAGGAGTCTTTGGGACCTCAGGGTCAATGTTAGGTCTCTTTCCCAGTCCAGCTGAGGTCTCGCACTGCAACTCCTTCCAGGACTGAGATGAGTCAGCTCTGCCTTTCACAGAAAAGAAGATAACTTTAGGGGCCTTTCTCTGGCTCCTCCTTTAGTGTTCTTCCTATAGGCCTTTAAATCACATCTATACTTCCCCACACTCACACATGTGCTGCACATTCATGTCATCCACACAGGCAGACATTGGTTTGTTGCACATTCAGTCCTGTGGGGGCTCTGGGCCCGTGGGACCTGCAAGACTCTTCTCTGGAAAACACAGGACATGTAAAACTCTTAGAGAGACTGCAAATTCCAAAAGCTTTTTTTCTTAGCATGCCTAATATAGTGCAAAACAGCATAGCCAGCTGGCCACGGCTCACTAGGCTAATCCTCTGCCTGTGGCGCAGACACCCTGGGTTCTAGTCCCAGTCGGGGCACCAGATTCTGTCCTGGTTGCTCCTCTTCCAGTCCAGCTCTCTGCTGTGGCCTGGGAAGGCAGTGGAGGATGGCCCAAGTGCATGGGCCCTGTACCTGCATGGGAGACTAGGAGGAAGCACCTGGCTCCTGGTTTCAGAACGGCGTGGTGCGCCAGCTGCAGTGCACCGGCCACAGCGGCCATTTGGGGGGTGAACCAATGGAAAAGGAAGAACTTTATCTCTGTCTCTCTCTCTCTCTCTGTCTAACTCTGCCTGTCAAAAAAATAATAAATAAATAAATAAAATAAACAGCATAGCCAGCAGATTAAAGAAACAAGCAAAGTCCAATGCCTGCATGCTTACTAGTAGGGTCTGTCTCTAGGAGACTTAACAGTCAAGGCCCAGCCACCTCGTCTTGCACCACAAACAGATGGAGGTCTGTTGCTACAGAGGTAAATGTCTTTGATGACTGTTGCACTCAGGGCCTTAAAGTCCTTCACTGGACCTTCTCCTGTGTGAACAGTCAGTCCCTGGATGTAATCTCCTGCATGTCCAAGCTCCAGCTCATTGTCATTGCCATCCTTGGGAGTGGTAAGCAGCTCTTCCCCAGGGTTAAATGCCCCATTGGGTTAAAATCAGGGAGTTTGCATGCAGACAGGATGACTTCCCTCTTTCAAGGTAAGCATGCTAGCAGGAACACCTCCATTCTTAGTCTCTTTTGTCAATGCTCACACCCATATCTCAATACCCCAACTCCAACCTCCACACAAGCACATGGAGTTGGACACTCTTGGGTGTCTGTCACTCCAACTCTTTCACTCTCATGAAAGCCCAGGGCACAATCTCATAGGCAGGTGTTTCTTATGAGATTGAAGTAAAAGTAAATGGGATATGACTGACCTGCAAGAGAGGCTATGAGCACTTTCAAGAGGCATGGCTTGGGCTGGTGCTGTAGCACAGTGGGGTTGGTCCTCTGCCTGCGGCATCAGCATTCCATGTGGGTGCTGGTTCTTGTCCCGGCTGCTCTACTTTCAGACCAGCTCTCTGCTATGACCTGGTAAAGCAGTGGAAGATGGCCCAAGTCATTGGACCCCTGCACCCACATGGGAGACCAGGAAGAAATCCCTGGTTCCTAGCTTCTGGCTTTGGATTGGTGCAGCTCTGGCCTTTGCAGCCATCTGGGGAGTGGAACAACTGATAGAAGACCTTTATCTCTGTTTCTCTCTCTCTCACTGTAATTTTAACTCTCAAATAAAATAAATAAAATTATAAAAAAAAAAAAACAAAAAGAGAGAGAGAGAGAGAGACATGGCTCTTCTGCATCAAAGCAACTCCTATAGTAAATTCCAAGTTCCAGGAGCAGAGTAACCATAGAGCGACCCCTAGACATAGGGCCAGCCTTCTTCACTGCCCATGCTGAGATGCTTGATTACATAAAAGGAGTCAGGGAAGAGATGCTGAGGGCAACAACTTCCTGGACTAAACAGAATGACACTTTCAGGTACAGAGGGATTCAGAAAGAGGGGAGTGAAGTTCTCTGACTAAGGGGGAACAAGAGCTGGCAAGGCCAGGCTTGGTGGCTCCCTAGGCTTCATGGGAAAGGTGGCCAGCTCACCACAATGAGTTTCACAGAACAGCCAGATTAGTGCACTCCTACAACAGGTACTCCAGGGAGTGGCCAATGCATGCAGAGAGAGTTGCTACATTAAAAGCAGGAGTAGGTGGCCGGTGCCGCGGCTCACTATGCTAATCCTCCGCCTAGCGGTGCTGGCACACCGGGTTCT